GCCCCCCGCCGCCGTCAACTCCGCCGTAAGAATTCTTTTCCTTTTGCTTCATTTTCTTCTGGCCCCGTCTTTGTTTTTCTTTTTTTAATACTATTTTTAAGCGTTAATGTCGTATGCTAAGCATCACCGTACGCAGATCAATGCGCGTTCGACGTGCGATGCCCGTGCGGTCTTTCTACCGCTAGGGAAATGGCGGAGAGGCGCAGGAGCCCCGTGATTCTCTCCTCGACCAAAGCCGTCCCTCGATTCTGTGGCTTCAGCTCATCGAAATCCGACGCAGCCGATCAAACCGTTGGTCGGGCGGAGCCCTGATTTCCTCCGACTGAAGGCTGGGATCCTTCGGTTTTCCGAGGACGAAGCCCTGGGCGCCGAGCTGGCCGATGAGGGCTCGTTTCTGGTGGGAGCTCCTGCCTCAGTGCTGAAAAGACTGGCGATAGTTTCTGGTTCACTGGTTGGTAATCTTTACTTTCGCAAGAGTAGGAGAACAATCTGCTGCGTAGGATTTATGCTTGTTTGCTTCAATCATGTTTTTGTGATTCTGTGATTATTTCCAGGTTCTCGTGAAGAATGCGGGGACGAATGTGGGCAGGATCGTTAAGGCCATAGTTCTTGACCGTCCAGCTCCCGGGGTAAGAGAACCTGAACGCACCAGTGAGACGAGCTCTCATTACGTAATGGACACATTTCCTTTGTTTACCTATCCTTCACGCGATCAAATAGTCTCAGACCAAGAAATTGTCTACGTGACCCCGCTTCTAGCGTTTAACCTTGGCTTGCACGTGTCTAGCCTGAATATCCTTCTGCGAGGAGGTCAAGAATCTTTAAAGTCATTATTTGAAGTTAAAGGGAGTGATACGGACGAGAAGGCTGTAAACCTCCCTCGAGTATATCTAGAACTTGCATCGTGGCCCCACTTGCCTAAATATGCATCCCACTTGAGGATTTCTTTCGTAAAGATACCCGAGTGTGGTGTGCTTGGATCGCTGAAAGGAGCTTCAAAATCTGAAGAAGATGACCGCCAATCTATGATTGATTTTGCTCTGAACGAGTACTTTAGAGTGGATAGGTTCTTGGCAAGGGGCGATGTTTTCCGTATTCGTGTAAATTGGAACTGTGGATCGGAGATGTGCATCGCTTGCAGTTCGGAGAGATCTTTGGGTAATATAATCTACTTCAAGGTACCTCTTCTGCTATTTCTGTCACATCAAAAGGTCCATGAATGTTTCAAGATGGTCTTATAAGTGGAAAGCATTCTCATTACTAGGTTACAGCTATGGAGCCATTAAATGAACCGATTCTTCGCATTAATTGCAATCAAACAGCTCTTGTTCTTGGAGGAAGTGTGGCTTCTGCTGTTCCTCCGGATCTATTTGTCAATACATTCCATGAGTCCATGCCCTTGCAAGCTGATACAGTAAGAAAACTGGCATCCATCCTTGCGCCTACATTATGCCCAACATCTTTATCGTCAAGGTTCAGAGTAGCTGTGTTCTTATACGGCCCGTCAGGTGCTTTGACAATATCCATTTTAAGCTTGCAGAATCTCAATTTAATACATGACTTTGTTAGTCTTAAGTATGCTCGGCCGATGCATTTGCAGGATGTGGCAAACGCACTGTTGTTAGGCGTGTTGCTAATCGTTTAGGCCTACATATTGTGGAATTTAGCTGTCATGATCTCATGTCATCCTCAGAGAGGAAGGCATCTGTTGCACTTGCAAATACTTTCAAAGCTGCTCACAGGTAATGTTGTATATCTCTTTTGCATGTAAGTTTCTACTTTCTTGTCTGTCACATCAATCTTCTTTGGTGATGGATATTCCTTTTGTTTGCATATCTTGTGCTAAGGTTAATGAATCAACAGATATGCACCTTGTATACTTCTACTTCGCCATTTTGATGTGTTCGGGAATTTATCTTCAAATGAAGGTTCAACATTTGATCAAGTTGGCATTATCTCTGAAGTTGCGTCTATTATTAGAGAGTTTACTGAACCATTTTCTGAAGATGAAGAGTCGTATTCAAGACCACCAGCTAATCATGGTCTTGTAAGATGCCCCTACAAAATCTTCGTCGATCCATACTTTTCTTAGGTTATTGGAATTAGGTGCAGACATTTTTTTATTTGGAAATCAATTTAATCCAGAATCTTATGATGACATTTCTTGTGGCTCAGTATCTAGTTGAAGCTGAAAGAGTAAGTAAGCATCCTGTGTTGCTCGTTGCAGCTGCAGATAGTTCTGAAGGTTTGCAACCACCCGTCAGACGTTGCTTCAGCCATGAAATTGCCATGGGTCCTTTGACAGAGGCTCAACGAGCTGATATGCTATCCTCTTCTCTTGAGGGTGTCTCAAAGCTCCATCATGAGGTGTGTGATTTTTCACTTCCTCGTCTTGAGGCTTACAGTCCCCATATAGGTAACATGGTTCATGTATGCAGAACATCAAAGACGACTTAATTAAAGAGGTTATTGGGCAGACATCCGGTTTTATGCCTAGGGATATAAATGGTTTGGTGGCTGATGCTAGTGCCAATTTTGTACATCGAATCCTCAATGACAAAGATAATAATGGATCTAGAGAGTCTGGTGAGAAAACTATTTCCAAAGTGATGTCAGCTCAGGATGAGAAAAGTTCTCATAGAAATGATACAAAACACCTGGAGAAGGATGATTTTTCCAAAGCTTTGGAGAGATCAAAGAAAAGGAATGCTTCTGCTTTGGGTACCCCAAAAGTGAGTTCATTTAGCTAAGATGACATAATGGTTTTTTGACATATTATTCTCAAAGAAAAAGTTGGAGTCGGCAAATAATTCTTGGTTACTTTTCAGTACAGTCTACAGTCCATTGAAGTTTAATGTTAGTGTAGTGCTTTATAAATGAACATAATTTTCTGTGTGTAGCAGGGGTTCTGACTTTGAAATTCTGTTCTTTAGGTGCCCAATGTAAAATGGGAAGATGTAGGAGGGCTTGAGGAAGTGAAGAAGTCAATCCTAGATACTGTTCAGGTAATTATCTGTATCACTGCATTTTGTGCAAGCCAGTGATCTTTGTGTTGTCCTGAATTTCATTGTCTTTATTTTAGATATGAGAATTTGGATTTTTCCGATGTTAATGGTTAGTTACCATTGTTCATGTTAAAACATCATTCAATGTACATTTTGTTCAGTTTACAAGAAATAAAATAACATTAATCTCCAGTCAATGTTAGCATTCATATCCATATCTGAAAAATAAAACAACCACAAGTAGAGTATGACATACCTACTAGCAGCTTTTGTCACGCCCCGGGCCCATGGGCCCGTTGGCGCGTGCAAGCCGCGGGTCAAGCCGCGGGTCCACCAAGAGCAACTCATGGGTTAGCTAAATCCACCATCAAAATGCTAGCACTAGTTGTTCTTGGGCCTTGAGCTTTTCTCTATTTAAACCACTAACATTTCTTCACACTAGTCCATGTGAGACTAAAGTGAGGGTGTCACACTCACTTCATTTTACAAAGATGACGTCCTCGTTGTCACGACATGACAATTGGTATATCCCAGTGTTACTGCCAAGCGATATGGAATCTAGAGGTGACTCCTGCGGGCTCTAGAGGTGGCTCCCATAGTATCCATGCGGTGTAGCACTTAGCTCGTATAACACTTAGCTCCACGCTTCTGACTGACAACTGTTCTGATACCATTTATAACGCTCTGGGCTCACGGGCCCATTGGTCCGTGCAAGCTGTGAGTCCATCGAGAGAAACTCGTGGGTTAGCTAAATCCACCGTAAAAATACTAGCACTAGTTGTTCTTGGTCCTTGGGTTTTTCTCTATTTAAACCACTAATATTTCTTCACATTAGTTCATGTGTGACTAAAGTGGGGGTGTCACAGCTTTATACCTTTATTACAGAATGGTACTTACAGACCTGAAAGTTTGAGTTTCGACTGGCATGTGTTGCTGGTAAATGTGCATCTCATTATGTTCTAGTGCATTATGGAGGCAGGGGTGCTTGTTTGAATATTGATGTTTATTTCATCTTGCATCGACGCATGAAAAGGTGCACATGATGAGAAAATCTATAAGTGGGAGTTATGATGGGCATCTCTTATGTTATGTTATAATAGATATACATCATTTGCTCTATCAGACAATCGATGTAATGTGCTTGTCAGTTGTCTCAAATATATAATGGACCTGATACTTTTTTGTTGTTTACTTGTTTTAATGGCATATATTTATATCGGGTTCAGAATACCATGAGTTTTAGCTGTATTTGACTTGCAAGTCTGGCTTGGCTTTAGTACCTATCTACAATTGGTGCATCTTATTTCTGTTGTTTCCATGCAGTTACCTCTCCTACATAAGGATTTATTTTCATCCGGATTACGCAAGAGGTCAGGTGTGCTTTTGTATGGTCCTCCAGGGACAGGGAAGGTCAGTTTACTTGATAAGCGCATACATTTGGTTTTTATTAGATGCTGATACATTTTACTTTTATATTGAGGGTGTTTGGGGAAGCTTAATTTTTCTCCAAATAGGTTTTAAGCTGGCTTTTCCATATCTACATTAGTTATACATAACAACCATGCATATATGTTTTGTCTCCGCAAATTTTTGTTGCCAATGACATAACAGAATATTTTGACTTATGACTTATCACATTGTATAGAGCGCTATTAATTTTTGTTGCAATAGCGGCAAACAACATGATTTAGCGCTTAATAGCGCTATTAACTTTTTAAACGAGTACAGTTTTTTGTACCCGAATCCAACCCAAACTCGATCCTTAAAAAATAATTCCCTACTTCATCCCCCCCTCCTCCCTCCCTCTCCCTTCTCCGATTCCAAGCAAAATACGAGGGAAAGAAAAGAAAAGAAAACCTTAAATCGTCGATGCGTTGCTTCTTCCACTTCCTCCTTTCACAGTCCACCCAAGGGCAACCCTCCTCATCACACTTGACTGCAACAAATACAACAACCCTACCTTTCCCTCTCAGACTATTACACCTTGTTTAACTTCAAATTTGAGCTCAACTCCTCCCTCTGTTGTCGCATCTACCCCTCCCTCTCAGGCTGCCTCTCCTGCTTCTTTGCTACCTCCGCTAACTCAAAGCTTACCGAGTTCCTTATCGAACTTCAAAACTCCACTAGTCCTCTTCATTTTTATGTGAAGTTTCAAATAGTTAGTACTTAATTATGGTGCTAGTAACCAATGTTTCTATTGTCGAGAATTTTTCTATTAGAAGAACTTGAAAATTGAAAGAGTGAGACAAATAATAGTTTTTTTGATAAACTTGTATGTCTTTTCATTTTGTATAGTATTTTGTTAATATTATGTGATTATTATGTCTGTTTCATGTTTAAGATCTCTGTAAATCACTAAATATGCATTTATGGGATCTCTAAATTTTTCTTGATTTTTTATTTTTTTGAATATTTATACATATTTAAACTGTTGACTTTGCGTTTTTTCCCGCTTAATCCCCAAAGAGGCTTTGTGGTGCCTCACCACTATGCGACACTATCCACTTTCCACAACTTTGGACAACTTTGGGAGTCGGATCCTAGCTCAAAATAGTGTTAAATGCTTAATTGGTTCCCCATATGTTATTGAGTTTATGAATTTTGAAGTGCGCATATTTATTTTCCTGAGCTAAGAATGAAAGTTGACAATTGTGGGTTATAACCCATGAAGTCGTGATTTATATAAAAGAAAGTTTAATTGCCATTTGGTTGAAACTAATAAAAATAAACTAAAATCGTGAGTTATACCATGAAAACCGTGATTTGTGATGTATAATTACTTTCCATTAGGAAGAATTACACAAACAAAAATTTCCGAAAGAATAAGTAATCACCCGCTAAAATTGCGAATTTTGAACTAGTAATAATTAATTGACATCGGGTCGAATGAATGATGATGGGTAAAAATTGTGGGCAAGCCCTTAAAAATTGTAAATATTGAAGTGCTCACAATTAATTGCTAAATGGTCGTAATGAAACAAATGGACAAAAATCATGGACTATAGGATGTGAAAAACACAAATTTTGAAGTAGCATATTTATTCTCCATTGGGCCGAAGAACGAAAATTGACAAATTATGGGGTTATAACCCATGAAAATCATTACTTTTTATGAAAAAAGTTTAGTTCCTATTTGGTCAAAACTAATGATAATAATCTAAAATCATGGGTTAGTCTCAGAAAACTGTGAATTTTGAAGTACGTATAGTTACTTTATATTCGAAGGAAACAAACAAAAATTGTCAAAGCCATGAGTTATAACCCACCAAAATCATGAATTTTGAAGTAGCCATAGTTAACTATCATTGGCTCGAATGAGTTATAATGAACAAATGGGTTAGCCTGTGAAAATTGAGAAGATTGAAGTTTACACGGTTAGTTGCGAAAGATCGAAATGAACAAAATGGACAAAAATCCTGGACTATAGCCAATGAAAATAACAAAATTTTTAAGTACACATATTTGTCTTCCAATTTGTTGAAGAACAAATATTGACAATATTGTGGGTTATCGCTCATGAAAATCGTCATTTTTTTATGAAAGAAGATTTAGCTGCTAATTGGTATGGACTTTAGCCCATGAACAAAGTAACGAATCTTGAACTACACATTTATTTTCGATTGGGTAGAAGAACAAAATTTGTTAATATTGTGGGTTTATAGCCCATAAAAATTTAATTGCCTTTTGGTCGAAACTAATGAAAATAAACTAAAATCGTGAGTTATAGCCCATGAAGATCGTGAGTTTTAAAGTGCATATAATTACTTGACCTTAGGACGAAAACAAAAGGTTGAGAAAATTGGGCGATATAAAAAATCTTAAAAATTTAAACTAGTGATTATCAATTTTCCTTGGATCGACTGAATAATAATGGAGAAAAATCACGGTTCATAACCATGAAGATCGTGAACATTGAAGTTAGCATAGTTAATTGCTAAAGGGTCAAAACTAACAAAATGGATAAAAATCATGTAACGTAGCTCACGAAAATTAGGATGTTTGAAGTACATATATTATCCATTGGGTTGAAGGAGGAAAATTGACAAAAAATGTGGGTTATAAGCCATGGAAATCATGATTTTTTAAGAAACTTATATTTCATTAGGTCAAAATGAATGAAACTTGACAAAAATTGTAGGTACCCCATGAAAATCGCAAATACTGGCATCATACAATTAATTACTAAATGGTCGACATGAAAAAAAAAGATAAAAACATAATGAGCTATATCCCTTGAAAATTATGAATTTTGAAGGAGTCATATTTATTTTCCCTTGACCATGAATATCGCGATTCTTGATGAAAGAAATTTCAAGCATAGGTCGAACTAATGAAAATAGACTAAAATCGTTGGATTATAACAAATAAAAATCACTAATTTCGAAGTATGTATAATTACTAACATGGAAAAAAATTTGCCGAGATCGTGGGTGATAACCTACCAAATTATGGATTTTAAAATGTTTATAATTAATTGCCATTTGGTGGAATGAACATAATTGACAAAAATAGTGGATTATAGCCCATGAAAATCATGAATTTTGAAGTTCGCACAACTAATTGCTAAATGGTTGAAATGAACAAAATGAACAAAATCATAAACTATAACTCATGAACATAACGAATACATATTTATTTTCCAAGTGATCGAAGAAGAACTTGTCAAAATTGTGGGTTACAACACATGAAAATTATGATTTTTTATAAAAAAAAATTAATTGGCATATGGTTGAAACTAACAAAATTTATCTAAAATCGTGGACACCATGAAAACCGCTAATATTGAAGTGCGTATAGCTACTTGCCATTAGGATGAAAAGGAAAAATTACCAAATCATGTGTTTTTGTTTTTGTTTTGTTTTGTTTTGGCTTTTTTTTTGCATGAAAAGATAGGTCTATTTCGTAACAAAACAAGTTAAGTACAAACTCCAATAACAAAGAAACAAATCTCTCAAAAACAATGGCTAGTGGGTTTAACAGAACCCAACACACCTCCCTATTCATCTATACACTCTGCCACAGCACTCTTTTATGTGAAGCTACATCAAAACTCCATCATGTATGACAAATTTGTACAGGGTCACCTAATTGGATACCCAATTATGCATATCTACATCCAAAACCAACAGTAGAAATTGAAGTCTAAAAAATTTAAAACTTCATCACTTATTTTCTACAGCTATAAATGAAGGATAAATGCAAAATTTGCGACACCATTCCTTATTAAAATGAGTACCTCTCGTCTTTCTGATTTGCTCATTTAAATTTTAATGGAGAACCTAATACGCGACATAATCTCCTCACAGAAGGCTTGATCCTTCTAAACACCAAGTTGTTTCTAGCTTGCCAAACATCATATAGAGAAGCTGCAAGAGCAGATATGTGAATTTTTGCAATACCCAATTCCCCCACCTTCTAATTATTTAAGGATAAACAAACTCCATGAACAAGGAGCAGGGGGAGAACTTTGAAGAAAGCTGGAAACAGATTCCTTATTTTGTCTATTGAAAGCACAATTAAAGAAAAGATCTCCAGTGTCCTCTTCATCCGGTTCACAGAGAGGACAACTTGGATTAACATGAAGACTTCTTAATAAGATAAGCTTCCGTTAGAAGCTTGTTATGACAAGCCAACCAAAAGATGAAAGAATGACAAGGTAAGTTCATACCAGTCCAAACCAATTTCCTTTATGGTACTTTTTGCGATGAAACCACATAGCCAAGTATGCACCTTTAGCACTAAAAGATGGATTATGACCAATCCACTTGAGCTTCTCATCAACAATATCCACTGCATTATCAATTTTCATTCTCAACTTTAGAATTTTATTTAACCCCCAAGATAGATTGAGAGGCTCTAATAAGTAGGCTCCATATATTATCATGCTTAATATGCATCTTATGTATCCATTTCACCCACAAGCTATCAGTTTTAAAAGCAATTGCCTAATGCCTATTACTGCTTCGGCATCATTGCATTGTTAGTGCAAATAATATCATGAAAACCAAGCCCTCTTTGATCTTTAGCAAAACACATTACTTTCCAAGCAACCAAAGGCAATTTAGGCCTATTGTCATTACTCCATGCAAAATCTCTACAATATCTTCTCAAGCGCTTTGAGTACTTTCGTGATGATAAAACCTCAGAAATTGTGAAAGCTTAATGAAACTAATCTACTCAACACCAGTGTTATCAAAGCACGCCTCATGTGCCTTGTGATGCGAGGTAGTGGCGAAGTGCCCCACATCTGGTGTGGCAGTGCCCTTTTGTGTCTCGCAAGCAAGTCCATACAAGACATAGCCTAGTGTTTTTTTTGTTCTTTAATATTAACCGAGTTTTTAATCTTTATACCCGATAACTGGTATCCTAAAATCAAAATAAACACATCAGGCATTTTTTAATTCTGATTTTAACCTTTACACCTGATAAGCAAGTGCATAGAAGACATATCCTCGGGTATTTTGTGATATTAGTCTAGAATTGACTTTTTATTCGGAAAATTATGAACTTTGCTGCTATGTTGGATGTGCCAGGCTGTTAGCATTAGAATTAAGACCTCATTTTTGTGATTTGGCAGTAGATATTATTCGTCTTTACATATTTTTACATAAAAATACATGAACATGTACTTTCATGGTTGATTAACTATCCTTAAAAATTGTGTGCAACGTGCATCTCGCTTCACTCGAGCGCGTGCGTCACATTGCACCTTGCACATTGCGTTAAAGGGCTTTGTGCCCGACATTGCACCTTGGTCATTGATAACATAGTCTACATGTTTTGACATCTCAAATAAGCTAGCATTTTAAAGTCCCGTTTAAAAAAGTTGGGGAACCCTAATTTTTGAGAAACTAGCTTATAAGCTCATCTATATATGGTAGGTTTGACCAAGCAAATGACTTTTCCATCATATAAGTTTATAAGAATTTTGCCATCAAAGCCAAAAGCCACCAAAAGTTGCATATTAGCTTATAAGCTTCAAAAATAAGCCCTCCCAAACAAACTCATTATATTGAGCTCCCAGATATTTACTTGACTGAATTCCATTTTTTCCCCAAAATCTTAGACATTGTTGGCAAAAGCTGTTGCGACGGAATGTTCCTTAAATTTTCTCAGTGTGAAGGGACCTGAATTGATTAACATGTATATTGGAGAGTCAGAGAAGAATGTTCGGGATATCTTCCAGAAGGTATGTATTTCCATGAAACTGAGTGGGCACTTGCAATGTCACTATTTCAACAGATTATATTTAATATTTCTTTTTGAAGGCAAGATCAGCACGCCCATGTGTAATTTTCTTTGATGAGCTTGATTCACTTGCACCTGCTAGAGGAGCTTCCGGTGATTCAGGTGGTGTCATGGACAGAGTTGTTTCTCAGGTGAGCTTTGTGAAAAGTATTTTTCTGTATTGACGATAATATTCTGAATGTATCTCTCACACTTTGTGTTTATTATTTTTAGATGCTTGCGGAAATTGATGGCCTAAGTGAATCTAGTCAGGTCCTTTTCATGATTCAGCATTTTCTTCCCATTTCATTTCTCAGAAAGTATTGTGTTAATATCTTTTTATCCTTCATTTTGCTCTATTTCCCAGGATCTTTTTATTATAGGTGCGAGCAATAGACCCGATCTTATTGATCCAGCACTTCTTCGCCCTGGCAGGTTTGATAAGCTTTTATATGTTGGTGTAAACACAGATGCATCTTATAGGGAAAGGTTAGTTTCTGTTGCAAACTTCTAGTGGTTAATTTGGATTATGTACCCTTTTTTAGTGTTTCATCCCTGTGCAGGGTTCTTGCTGCCCTCACAAGAAAATTCAAACTTCACGAAAATGTTTCTCTACTCTCAATAGCTAAGAAATGCCCCCCAAATTTTACCGGTGCCGACATGTATGCTTTATGTGCAGATGCTTGGTTTCATGCTGCAAAGCGCAAGGTGACTTCTTCTTATCTATGTTCTGCAGAGGGACAAATTCAATATTTTATTTTCTATTTTTTGATTGCTATGACAGAAATCTAATCTTTCCAAACATTATCCTTAAAATGCTAGTTCTTGATTTCTTTAAAGGACAATATTTGAGCTGTTTTAATGAATATTGAAAGCATCTGAAATATCGATATCTGTATTAGGTGAGTCAGGCAGTCTTTGTTCCGGTTGGTTTAACCAAACCATTGTGGCATAGAACCCGGTTCGTTCTAGTTCATGGGACGGAAAGGGGAGTGTGGTGCGTCCCTCATTAGGAATTGGATTCGAGAAGTGTAGGCTTATGTGGTACGCCATGGAACATGGAACGTTTTAGGTTTGGTTCTTAAATGTAGGTAAGAGTCAAATTTAAGAAATATGCTAGTTGATATCAATAATGGTAAAAAGTACGGGGAGAGTCACATTGCAATCAAGGTATTGCATGCTTTATTTGCGTAACTTCTCACAATTTTTTGTTGTTTATTCTTTTGAAAAGGAGTTATTTTTTCAAAAATTTAACTGATTTGCATTCCAAATCGGGCACCCAAGTTGGTGAATCGGATGGGTGGAGTTGGTGAATCCATTCGGAAACACCGCGAATATGGGATGATTGAGCCCAGGTCATGGTACGCTATAGTGTCACACGTTCCTGATTTCTATGAATTAACCAGTTAAAGAACAGCTCTAGTAATTTTCTATTTAGGTGGGTGTAGTAGTTTTTAGATTGATCGGCCATTTATGCATTCTCCACTTATTATTTGAACCAAAATGAAATAACCAAAATTGTATGGGCAATGAAACAATGTTGTCCTGGTAAGTTTGGGTAAGTTTGTCTCGTTTTTGTGCGAAAAAACCTTACCCTGTGGTTTAACTTGAGTAGCCTTACTCTTGAAAGAACAGGGAATGATCAAACTGGGGACTAACCAAAGTAACCGGATTTCAGCTAAACCTGGTTACCCTAAATTTAACTTTTTGGTTGGAAGCAAATTAATCCAGCTTCAATTCCATTACCAAGTGGACCCTACTCTTTGGAGTTAGAATTATCTTAGATCTCCCATAAGCTCTCAATACCAATAACTAACTGGTAATCAAAGGACATATACTTGATATTCTATTACCTCCTCCTTGCATTAATACCTATACAAGAACAAAACCTTAATTTATGGACTTGTTTCATTGTTTCTCTAAATACCTAAGTTTATTCTTTCCTTTTGCAGGTTTCATACAACCATACAGATACTTCTGCTGATGAAGGAACAGATTCTGTTATAGTTGAAATGGATGATTTTATCAAGGTTTGTTGCTGTTCCAATTTATTTCAGCTGATAGTATTACGAAAGCTGGTTGCTTCTATGCATTTACATCTTTTAGTTGATTTGACAGGTCCTAGGGGAGATATCCCCATCTCTGTCGCTGGCTGAACTGAACAAGTATCAACAATTACGGAATCAGTTCGAAGGAGCTTCGAACTAAAGAACTCAGCAGCAGTTAATCATCATCATCATGCTTTCATCCAAATGGTACCACTTCATCCCAATTCTCAAACATTTAGACTGTTCAAATCTGGATGGTTTTTGTTTTCCTTTTGTTCAGTGAAATTAGTAAATTTCAGTTGTTGATGTTTAGAAGTAAGACTTACAAAATAAGATCAATGCCACAATGGAAGTGAATAAAATATGATTGTATAATGTTGTGAAAATGATGAGATTCCAAATATAGAAACTTGAATCGCTGATCTATTACCACGGACAAAATGATAAAATATGGTTCTTTTACCATCTAGTACCTCTCTTATTTCCATTTAATTTATTCCTTTCTTGACGCCTGCAGGTCAAATTTACAACTTTGATATCATCCTTATTTTCTGATATATGGAGCGCATGCTGCAACATCTGGAGCACATGCTGCAGTATCATCCTTATATCTGATAAAAATGCAAGTTACCTGTAAATAGAGGAGACTGAATTATATTGTTCATTCTTATTATAGCGTGCCTGTATGCATTTGACATTTATATCCATTTACCCCACGCTCTCACTTGATCTAAATTAAACCGTGCTTTGTGCCAGAAAATGTGAAGCAAGCGATTGTTGAAAATGGTACGTTTGCTATTTGTTTTTTGCCTTCGGTGATTCTCTTGGTAATCCAATACGGTTGCGTTCATCTCAGTGGTTTCCCCCATTATTGCAACAGCACTCAAGGATTTCTATAGGATTGTGATGTGTTACGAAAATGCACAGTCTTGACCAGTAAATTCCTATAACAGTCCAGTGGTCATCTTCAATTTGGCCATCTCAATTTTGTCTTAAAATAGGAGTCCGCTAGGCATGTATTCTTCTTCGTTACCTTATTTTTCCTTGATGAAAGTGTATAGTTACGTCTGGACGCCTCTCTTTCTCATGTATCGTCAACATCGTGACAATGATTTCTCGCATATTGACGTCGTCACCTGAAAATAGACATGAGGTTGATAGATCTGCTGTAAAAATTTCAAATGTTGCTTCCTTGAGATGAAAGTTTTGGCTGACCCTAATCCGAATCTGGAAAGGTCAGTATGTTGGTTTTCTTGTGTTAGGTTTTTATTATACTATACCGTGACATCTCCAGGTTTTCTCTGGGTTGAAATTTGCTGTTTGGTGTGGAAGGAAGCAGTCTCATTTGGGGAATTAGTCAATAGGGTTAGCAAATATTACCTCTAAACCCCAATCTTCAATCATAACAGACCCAGTCTTCACACGTGATGGACAATGAGCAAGGATGAGATTACTACGTGAACAAAAATTACAGAATATTTTAGGGCTCCGTTTGGTTGTAATTTATGGGGGGCGAGGACGACGAGTCAAGTATACATGTTTTCTTGTGATTGGCGAACGGAAAAAAGATGAAGAAACTCAACATAGTTTGCGATCTCGCTTACTGTTAAAATGGGGAGTCTTAGAACTTGAACTCCTCAAACTTGGGATGTCTTCAGGTAGAGTAGCACTCACTTCATTCCTGTTAAAAGCGTTGCTATACTTATAGCAGTTGTGTAAATTATTAAAAACTGTGAGCTGTTATGTTGAGCTCTTGAAGATGATCAAGTACACTGGAAAGTGAAGATTTAATGTTGTCATAACTTGCAACAGTTCAAGATTCAGGTACTCTCCCCTCTCCTTTTCGCACAAAATATATATGGATGGACGAGGAGGGATTAATAAAATCAGGATTCATTCAAGAAGAAGAAAATAGATAGACATGATTTTGCGAGGTTGTAGAGAACAAAACGACCAAGTTTATGTTAGCACGAAGACAGACTTAGCTTATATATATGATTAGAGTAAAAATAAACGGCATTACTGAACTAACATCTATATTAATCCTTTTTCTCAGCTGAAGCTACACTTCAAATCTAAAAACCTGACGCATTGCTTACAACCCCCTGCCTCATATCAGAAGCACATATCAATCTTGGAGTTGAATAGACGCTGCTAAAGATCATATAGACGATCGATGAAGATTTTCTGCAAATTACCCCTCAAAAAAAAATTAAAAATTTACATTAATCTTTTAGTCATCTAGACTTAGACTTGGAGATGACACTAACCACCCTCCTAAAATGATCAACATCACAAGTAACCCTCAGAACTCCACCCCTCGAGCTATCTCCGAGCTCATCGGCAGCCATCTCCAACAAAGCCACCATGCTCGGATCATTGAAGAACTTGACGTTGACGGCGAACCTCTCCACCTCCTCTCCCCTCCCCACGAGCACCGGCACGTGCCCTTTCCGTGCTCTCCCCTGAGATTCATCCTCAACCAATCTGTGGTAGCTCATCAGTGATCTCTGCCTCTCCTTCCCCTTGCTCCCCATTAATGCTGAACGTACTAGCTCTTAATTAGCTAGCTAATTTCTAAGGGATAAATAAATATTTTGGTGCTTAGTTATACCTTATATTTATACAAGGGAGCTGGGGGTTGTTTTGGTTGATTGAATGTTGAGTGACTGTTTTATCGGTCGTAAAGCCTTGCCTCGGTAGCGACTTTGACCAAATATGAGGTTGGCTGTTCTTTTCATTTGTATATAAGATGGCCGTTTGGTTTGAAAAAAATAGGAGGGAACAAACTAAGTAGTATAAGGTGTGCTAAGGGTATGTTGTTCCTGCGGAGTTGATTAATGGCTTGGGCAACGAGATTTCAGGGTTTTGATCTTTAAAGTAAGGAAAAATTTGTAAAATAGACCTCAGGCCAAAAAGAGGTCGATTTTGCTAAACAGACCATTCGAAACATACGAGACTATTAGTCCCGTATGATTTAATCCCCCATTAAATCATACGGGACTACTAGTACCGTATGTTTCGAATGGTCTGTTTTGCAAAATCGACCTCTTTTTGGCATGTTCGAGATTTCAGGGTTTTGATCTTTAAAGTAAGGAAAAATTTGTAAAATAGACCTCAGGCCAAAAAGAGGTTTAGTTTGCTAAATATTTAGCAAAACGGTCTATTTTGCTAAATATTTAGCAAAATAAGTCTATTTTGCAAATTTCTTCTTAAAGTAATCTATATGATAAGTGATTATTGAAGTCCTTTCCGATACTATGTCGAAAATTTGAAGTTGCGATGAATGTTGAATATTTGTTCTTTTCAATGTCGAAATTAATTGTTTCGCAGAATATATTTTCAAATATGCTTTAAATATGTGACACGTGAGATTTAAATCCGGATTTTTTTTTTGGGTACCATTTTGAAGTTTTTTCTGCTTCACCGGAAGTGTGAAGTCTTCATAAGGATTGAGAGGGATGTTTTCCTACTCGAACATAGATATTCATTTCGTGATAATTAAGAGCATGCAAGATGGAACGAGCTAAATTCAAATCATTTCTCGTAGGAGTGAGCATAATTTTTAATAAAAGTATTAACGCGCATTCATCATAAAGAGTATTCGGGTATGCGGCCGCTTGAAGTTGGATCCGATAGTAACGACACTCGCCCGGTAAATTTTTGTCCCCTATCGGTTTCTTTGTGATGAGAATGAGATCGTAGGAGACTAATTAATTATATATAATTCTTTTATATTTTGCGGCTACAACTTAAATTCTTTTTCAAAGTAGTAGCATTCAACTACCGGCCTTGGGCGCGTGTTTCTATAATAATTTTATATTCTTTAATACCTCTGTACCTTGACCGTTACTATTAATTTAATTAAAAGAAACTGTTTGCTATGAATTTTTTTTTTCTTTCTAGTTTAGATTATTAATCTCTCGTGCACAAAATATCCTTATATTATTTATTGGTATATGAATCAAAAAAGTTTCCTTTATTTTGGATATAGCCACTTGTTGTTGTTGCTTTTTTTTCTTCTTCTTCTTCTTCTTCTTTTCTTTGAAAGTTGAATTATATTGAACTAAGAATCAAGAGTAATTACATCATCATGAATGTTGTGCCGAGAAGAAATATCTGGACAATTCATTTGAATTAGTTAGTTCTAACTATAAGCTATTTATTCATGCCTTGGTGTAGATATTACCAAAACATTTTGATATAAATTACCATGTAGCACAGAGAAAACTTTGTGTTCTGCTTGTGTAATTTTTGCCGTCAAGTTATTGCAACGTAAATGGGTTTAGTATTTCACTTTTGCACTAGCATGAAAATATGGGCTAAAAAAAAAGCAAACATTCCAAATGTCTAATATCAAATTACAAACTATGTTCATAACATATACGAACATGCGAAATTAATCTAAGTTTGACTGTAGCTTAACTTCATCTCAAAGCTTAAAAGAATAATATAGAGGGAGAAAATCTTTAAACAACCATGGAGTTTCCATCATAAGTTATTGTGAGCTTTATTTAAAATCTCAAACTTTTCTTTCAATATTATCCTCTTTGGAGTATTATCATTAGTAGGTAGAATATGGGTCGTAGTCCAAATATACTCGGAAGTTCTTAGCAACATCAGGTAGAAGAATTTCACATCATCAATGCTCTTCAAATTTCTCATGTGCCTTCATAATAACATTCTACTTGAATAATATAAAGTCAGTGCAACTAAACAACAAGAAACTAAACATGAACACATAGAATTGGGAGGTTAGTTAGTTAGGTGTATGTTAGCATGCGATCTGTACGCTAACTTACGCCCCTGCTGTGAAATTTTCAATGGCAAAAAAGAAGAGTAATAAAGGGAAAAATATCATCAAAATTGGTTTAGGAGCCTCTGATTCAAGCTTAGATCCCTCTGCTGATCATTTTGATACAAATTTTGTTGAAGATGATGAAGATTCCTCGTCGGAGATTATGGGGTCAACGGGTCCAAGGGGAGAAAGGAAGAAGAAGTTAATGGTGGATGTCTTGAATTCTTCTGTTCCTGTGTCTGTTCCTCTACCTGATTCTTCTCAGAGGATGGGAGTCCTTGCTCGTCGTGAGTTCTTGAGTTCTCAATCTGGCGCTAGTAGCTCTGGTAAGATTTCTTGGGCTGATGATTCTAATTTGAATCTTGTGTCATCACAACAGAATCTTCTATCAAATTTGTCTCATCAGTCTATTTCTAATTTGATGAGTAATGTTGAATCTAATCCTATGAAGTCCAATTCAGTTCTTGATCCTTTATCTAATCATAGTTCTTGACCTGGTATTTTTAGAGCTGAATCTTTGATTGATGAATTTGTTGAGAATTCTAACAAGGGTGAATCAATCCTTGAAAGCTCTGATTTTCCACCTTTACAGTCCTTGAGCTCTCATCAAGACCCTGTTCAAAACAATGCTGTTAAAAAAACTGGGTTAACTGCTTTGCTGATAATAAGAAAACTGGGAGTGTCATGGAATTAAGTTTCATTTCTTCTGAAAGCAAAGATGTTGTGTTTTTTAATGAGGATGAATGGAATGAGGGTAGTTCTATTTGGCAGTTTTCTCTTATTGGTCAAGTCTTGGGGCTCAATGTAAAGTTTAAGGCCATGGAAAACTTTATCCAGAAAGTGTGGGCTCATTAGAAAATCCCTGAAATTTGCCTTCTTAAAGCAGGTTTGTTTAGTGGAAATTTGCAGTAAAAAGACAATGAAAGAAAAATTTGACTTGTATTCTCTCAAAATCAATTACAATTTGGATTCCGATTACAAAAGAGAGGAGAATGAATTTGATTCTCCCCTTTGTTTAATTCTGGGTTCTTCACGGTGGCGATGAGATGCCTCCCTCGAATGCTCGCGTCGAGTTTGCTCTCCGTTGACGATCCGAACGTCTTGATTCACTGAGCTCCTTCAAGTCGCTGATCTCCAAAGCTCTCTGTTGCTGTGGAAAGCTCAAAGATGCCTGCTCTAGGATCCCCAAAAAAGTCAGCCAAAAAAAGAGCCCTTGAACTCAGTTGAGTTTCTGATATTTATAGGGGATTACGGGTGGTAACTGCCCCCTTAATCCACTCTTAAGTGGGGCGAAAATCCCTCAAATCGTGGGATAAACGGTTTTGAAACTGTTCTGTTAGTGTTTTGAACGAGTCAAAACGCTGAAAACAGCGTTCTGGGCCTTAACTCTGCGTCTTATTGATGAGACGCAGAGTTGGGCGCTTGTTGGGAGTTGAAAACGCAAGGGCCGCTTGCGTTCGGACCTTAACTCTGCGTCTTAAAGATGAGACGCAAAGTTGGGCGCTCGCTGGGAGTCGAAACGCATAGGCCGCATGCGTTTTAGAGATGAACTCTGCGTTTTAGGCTAAAAACGCAGAGTTGGGCCTGTTTAAAGGCTGAAAACGCACAGTTGTGCTGTTTTAGCGATTAACTCTGCGCTTTGATGTTGAAAACGCACAGGCTGAAAACGCACAGTTGAGGCTGAAAACGCACAGCTGAGGCTGAAAACGCACAGCTGGTCCTGTAAACGCACAGTTGGCCTGTTTCAGGCTAAAAACGCACAGTTGTGCTGTTTTAAAGATTAACTCTGCGTTTCTAGATTGAAAACGCAGAGTTGAGCCTGTTTAAAGGCTGAAAACGCACAGTTGTGCTGTTTTAGCGATTAACTCTGCGTTTTGATGTTGAAAACGCAGAGTTGAGCATGTGCGCTTTGACTCTGTAATGCAGAGGCGAACCTTAGGCGAGCTTGGCGAGCTTCAGGCTAAGTCCAATGTTCTGATGAAGTCCAGTCTTGCAGACGGACTTCAGAACATAACTTGTTACGAAGAACAGGTCATAACTTTCAAACCGTACGTCGGAATTGGACGAATTACATATGAAAATCGGCTATCTCGACGAGACGGGGCCATCCGAACCCAGCCGAAGGCTTCGGTTCGCTTCCTCCGTTTCGCCAAATTCCTTACGGTTTGAGAGATATCCTGTAATCTTCGTCTTGGCTCCTTGAAAATATAAGAGTCGTCAGATTGTAACTCCCGATGTTGATTGTGAAAGCTGTTGAATTGGGGCCTTCATTAGTTGTTGTGAAGGTCGTCAGATTGTAACCTTCTATGTGAAAGTCCTCAAATTGTAGCCTTCTGGAAGTCGTCAGATTGTAACTTCCATCATCGGTGTTTGATGGGGGATCAACTATCTATTGTGATTTTTAGACAGCCTACAAGGATTATTCCTATTTAAATTTAATAACAAAGAAGATTTGAATGAGATTCTTGTTAATGGGCCGTGTTTTTTGGTTCTAGACTTCTTATGTTAAAGGTTTGGAATAATGAAGAGGATATTGAAAAGATTAGTGCATGTGTTTACCCAATGTGGATTCAACTCCCTGCATTGAGGCTCAACCTTTGGAATGCTAAATGTATCAGCAAGATTGCTAGTTTGATTGGCCGGCCAATTGCTACTGACAAGTTGATTGCAAATAGACAGAGGCTAGCATATGCCAGGGTTTTAGTTGAAGTGCACATGCCCTCTCAACTTCCTGATCATATTCGTCTTCAAGGCCCTAATGACAAAAATTTTAATCAAAAT